GGGGCTGGGAGCGTCGCGTGGGGGCGGGCCTTCAGGGCCGAACGCGGGGCCCGCAGGGGTCAGTGCACGGCGTGTATCTTGTGGGATCTTCGGAAGTATTACGAGCACATTCATTTGAGTTTCTGGTGGCACAAGTGTCTCCGGCGCCGCTTTTTGGTTCGCCTTGCCAGGCTGGCCATCCAGGGCTATTCGTCGGCTCGTTTCCTGGCTCTCGTACGCATTCTGGAAGGCCCTTAGTTTGTGGAGAAAGGCGTTGTGGCGGGCAGTTGTCCTGCCACTAGCTCATCAGAGCGTTTGCTATGGAGGCCTTCGACAGTGTCCCCCGAGAGCCTGGCAGGTGCTATTGTGATGCCTACATCGATGACCTTTGCTTGAGTGCTACTGGTTCGGCTGAGGAAGTCATCGCCGCTCTCACCCGTGGAGCTCGGGCTCTGCGCTCTGCCATCGCCGGCGCGCTCCAGTGCAAGCTGGCTATGGACGAGGCCGGCGTGGTCAGCAGCAGCAGCAGCAGCAGTTTTGTGTTTCAACAATTGCAGGAGTCGCTGGGCCAGCTGGTCGGCTCAGCTTGCACTAGAGTCACCAACTCTGGTTCTGACTTCGCTGCTGGCCGACCTGTTCGAGGCCCTGGGGAAGGCAGGGCAACTGGAATGAAAGTTCGAGCCGCCGCCGCCCTTCGCGAGAACAAACGGTTGCATGGCCTCGGCGAGGCGCTGGGGCGCAAGGCTCGCGGGTTTTTGCTGCTGGCCCTCTGGCGGGAGCCGTGCGTGGATCGGACCTCTGCGGGGCCTCGCGGCGCGGGCTGCTCTCGTTGCGAAGGGCGGCTATGTCGCGCATCGAACCCAGGGCTCAGGGTAGGCCCATTGCGTTTGATCGCTCCTGGAGGGCGACCCGATGCGGCGAGGTAGCTGTCCCCCCGCCGTTCGGTGGTCCAAGGAAATCTGGATTTTGAGAACCGGCGCCTTCAGCGGTCTCTCTCTTGGGTTGAGATGCGCGTATGGGAGTCGGCTTTTTGCCCCATCTCTGCTTTAAGAAAGACTCTTTACGTACTTGGCTGGTCGATGCCGATCTCCTGCACTATCAGCGGCGACTTCGGCATAGAGATTTCGCTGGCCCTGTCGAACCCGAAACCGGTCAAAGTTTTTTTGCGTTGCAAAGAAGCTACCTTTCGGCCCTTCGAGCGTGAATCTGGGGACGAGTGCGGCACTGGTTTCAGATTGTGCTGGGGCGTAGCCAAAAACATCTGGGGGCCCAGCAAGGTCGGGGGCAAAACCAAAGGTTGGGTCATGGCTTTGGCCACCGAGGCCTGCTGGACTGCAGGAGATGTCGCCTCTGCAGGATATGGTTTCTCGGGCCGCTGTGCTTTTGCGGAGTTACCAGGGGCGCCCCGCCGCGCCCACGAGTGCCCGGGCGCGCAGTCGGAGAGAGATGCTATCCTTCCCCCGCGGCTTCAAGCGGAAGCCCGCGAAACGGATCCAGACGCACCTGAGTCGGCTCTCTTCCTGTGCGAGGCCTTCAAGCACCCTGGGGGCATCGCTCCTCGTCTTGTGGCGTTGGAGTGCATCACGGATGCGCTGCCCGACCCGTCAGACGCTGCTGCCCCGCCCTCCATTCTTCCAGCCGGCGGCCTCCTGGGGCATCTTCTCATGGGCGGCGCATGCCGTCGTCGTGCTGTGTGGGGGCTTTCTCGCGCAGGGTGGGCTGTGGTCATGGTCTCTCAGTCTGGGGAGCGGCTCGGGGTTGTTAAAGGACCCCTGCGGGCCCCATGGGCCCAGTCTTTTGAATCTTGAAGAAGCTGATGTCACCTCAGGCAAGCGTCAGCATGCTGGTCTAGTTGTTCAAGCGCGACACCATTTGGGTCGCTACCTAAAATCGTTTGCGGAAGTGGCCGCCCGCCGCGGTATCGACGAAGAGGGCCTCACTTCGCGAGAACGGTTCTTGCGTCGTGGGAACCACTGCGCCGACATTGCGGCTGCGGAAGCGGTCGCTGCGCATCCGACATGGTCTCCTTCCTTTGGAGGAAGAGCTTAAGAGATGCATTGAGATTGCGCGTCTTGTTCTTTTAGCTGGAGCGGGGCTTTTGCCGTTGTGGCCGAAGCTGGAGTTCAGGGGGATGGAGCGAGCCCCGCCGCCCCAGCCCGCCGTTGCGCCATCTCTCGAGGTTCGCCACGATCGGGCAAAACAGGGGTCCTCCTGGCGTTGTCGAGGTTGCCTCCGAAAGTCCCGTTCGAGGTCCAAGCCTGTCGGTGGTCCGCGTCCTGGGCAGAGCCCCCTGGGCCAGGGAAAGCTGGAGTCCTTCGGCTGGAGTCCCTCGGCCACCGATTCACTGCATTCCCCTGCAGTGACCGTTCCCGCCTGTTCCTTTGCATGTCTTGCAAGTTTTATAACAGTGGACATCAAGTCTTGGGCCTGGGCCGTTAGTGCGGATTCCCAACGGAGACGGGAAGGAAGAACCAGTCCCGCATGCGTGAAGGCCAGCACCTTGATAAGAAGGGTGTCGTTGTAGACCTGATGAAATCATCTCACGTTTGTAACTTACATGTTAATTCGTTGCCCAATCAGCTCGCCCCTGGCTGTTGTTGCAGTTCACTGCCCAGGGGCATCAGGCGCTGCTATCAAACAAAAAGAGGAGGAGGAGGAGGAGGAGGAGGAGGAAGAGGAGCAGGGGGAGCAGGATGATCAGGAGGAGAAGGAGGAAAAGGAGGAGGAGCAGAAGGAGGAGGAACAGGAACAGGATGAGGAACAGGAGGAGCAGGAGCAGGAGGAGGAGGGGGAGCAGGAGGAGGAAGAGGAGCAAAAGGAGCAAAATGAGCAGCAGGAGGAGCAGGAGGAGCGGGTCTGCAGGTGCCGGCGCCGTTGTTTGGGGTATACAGGTGTCGGAAACAATCCAGCAACACTCATGCAGAACATGTAGTTTGAACTCCCCCCTCGCCCTCCCGCCAGATGCAATGCTGGTTTCGGATCTTCCGGTTTTGGGCTTCCGAGTGGTCTTCGAGGAACGTGCCAATTTTGCAGTGCGTGGGACGGGGAGGAGGAGGAGGAGGAGGAGGAGGAGGAGGAGGAGGAGGATCACTGACCAAACTGCCAGGACAGCGAGCGGGCCACCATTGGGCAGTCCCTCGGGGCCGTTGGCCGCATTTGGGATTGCCCATGGGGGAGCCCACTGCTTGGGGAGACCCCAACTCGCAGCCTGTTTGCGGGGGATGCTAACGAGGACCCGCCCTGGCTAGCAACCCCACATCGAACGCCGGCTCGGGCTCCCGGCCCTGGGGCGGGGGAGGCGGAGGAGCAGTCAAGGGGGGGTTGCGGGGGCGATCGATCGCGGATCGGATCGGCCAGCCCCTCAGCCAGGGCTCCGCATGCCGCGGTGCCATTGGCGGCACCGCTGCCGCACCCAGCCACCGACGCGGGGCCGCGGGGGACCCTCCCTCGCCAACCCCCGTGGCCCTGCGACCAGCGAGGAGGTGGTGAAAGGAGGAGGAGGAGGAGGAGGAGGAGAGGAGGAGGAGGGGGAGGAGGAGGAGGGAGGAGGAGGAGGAGGAGGAGGAGGGGGAGGGGGGAAGGAAGGAGGGGGGGAGGAGGAGGAGGAAGGAGGTGGCGGAGGAGGAGGCGGAGGGAGGAGGAGGAGAGGAGTGAGGAGGAGGAGGAGGAGGGAGGAGAGAGGCGGATGAGGAGGAGGAGTAGAGGAGGAGGGAGGGGGAGGAGGAGTAGGAGGAGGAGGAGGAGGAGGAGGAGGAGGAGGAGGCAGGAGGAGGAGGAGGAGGAGGAGGAGGAAGAAGAAGAAGAAGGAGAAGAAGAAGAGGAGGGGAGGAGGAGTAGGAGGGAGAGGAGGCGAGGAGGAGGAGGGGAGGGGGAGGGGGGGGGGGGGGGGGTGTGGGGGAGGGGGATGGGCGGAGGAGGAGGGGTGAGGGGGAGGGGGAGGGGGAGGGGGAGGGGGGAGGGGGAGAGGGGGAGAGGGGGAGGGGGAGGGGGAGGGGGGAGATTAAGGGAAAGAGGGGGGGGATGAGGGGTAGGAAAGGCTAGGGACAGGGGGAATTAGGGGGAGGAGGAGGAGGAGGAGGAGGAGGCGGAGGAGGTGGAGATGAGGAGGAGGAGAGGTAGGAGGAGGAGGAGGAAGGCAGGAGGGAGGAGAGAGGAGGAGGAGGAGGAGGAGGGGTGGAGGAGGAGGAGGATGGAGGAGGAGGAGGAGGGGAGGAGGAGGAGGAGGATGGATGGAGGAGGAGGGAGGAGGAGGAGGAGGAGGAGGAGGTGGAGGAGGAGGTAGGAGGGAGGGAGGAGGAGGAGGGGTGGAGGTAGGAGGAGGAGGAGGAGGAGGAGGAGGAGGAGGGGAGGAGGAGGAGGCGGAGGAGGAGGAGGAGGTAGGAGGGGAGGAGGAGGGAGAGGAGGGGAGGGGAGGGAAGAGGAGGAGGAGGAGGAGGAGGAGCGGAGGAGGAGGGAGGAGGAGGAGAGGAGAGGAGGAGGGGGAGGGGGAGGAGGAGGGGGAGGAGGTGTTGCTTCAGTTCTTCCCCCAACCAACCGTATGTCACGTGCGGTGCCTCCCCCCTCGACCGTGGATGTGTGCTTTGGCGTGCGGTCTCGACCGCCGGGCGGTTGGGGGCCGTGCGTTCGGCTGTGCACGGAGGGCGGGAGCTGGCGGCGCGCAGAAGGGGGCAGGGGGAGGGGGGGGCTTCTTAGAAGGAGGGGGCTTCTTAGAAGGAGGCTGCTGTTTAGAAGGCGCCAACCATGCAGCTATAGGTAAGGCCAGCGCCCTCTAAGAAACGGGGGTGCTTCTAAGAAGCCTCCCTCCCTCCCCTTATATGCAACCCGCTGCGTGTGGCCGAGGAAGGGAAACGGACGGGGAGGATGCGATGTTGGGAGCGCCGACGTGCTTCACGGAGAGGTTCGGAGATCGGGATGGGTGTTCAGAGCGCGGATGGGCATCCTAGTTTGCCAGGCAGCAGCGGGGCGGGAAGCCGCGTGACGAGGCTGGATATCGGGAGGGGAGATGTCAGCATGGCCGCTGTGCAGGCGACGACGCCTCCGCCTCGGACCGACAGGTTCAAGGACCCTCCCTCTGTCCTCGCTTCGCCAGAGGCTCAAGAACCTCCAACAACGAAAGGAAGCAGCGGCCTCCCGTTCTGCAAGATGCTTTTCTTCACTTTGGGCGTGTTATGTCGAATGCTGTTGGGTTGTAGAGGTTTCGGAGCTTCTGGGTTGCTTCGCTTCCGTTCCATCTCGTTTCCCTCGATGCGTCTCGCGTGTTTCCCTGCAGAGCACATCCCTGTGTTTGCGCCTTGCTCGCCTTCCCTTTTCTGCCAGTATTTTTCTTCCCCTGCCTCGGCTCCTTGCTCCCCGTCCGTCTTGTGCTTCATCTTGGAGTCCACCACCTCGGTCCTCCTTGCTGCTCCCACCTTTCCCCATCCTGCTCCCTCCACCCGGCGGCGTGTCTTGTTTCTCCATGCTCCTTCCTTTCCTCCTCCGTCCGCGTCCCCCGCCCATTCCCCTTCTGCACATGCAGAACTGCAGCGTTGAGGATCGGTGCGTGTCGTGGCGCGGACGGGAGCGGACATTTTGCGCGGCCGGGTCGGAACTCGCGGGACCGCCAAAGCGTTGCCGCGGGAGCGGGATGCGAACCTCGCCACGAGGGAAAGGGGCAAATCTTGGGGGACAAGAGTCCTCAAGTTTTCCGTCATTTTCAGCCTCTCGGGGCCCTTCCTGGGCCCTGGGGCTGCCAGGAAGCGGCTGGTGAAGATGGCTTCCAGGTACCAGTGCCATCAGGAGCCCTCTCCCTCGTGGCAGGAGTCCCAGGACTCGGGGGCGAGTGCCGCACAGACCACGGGGGCGCCAGAGTGACGATGCCTGTGTGCTCTGATGGGTTCGCGCGGAGGGGCAGCCTTCATCGAGGCAGCGCGGCAGAGCGCAGCGGCGAACCTTGATGCTGACTACCATGGACTGCAGGCGGTCATCCTCAGATTGCTCCAACCGCTCCGCTGACCCCTCATTACTGCAGACGGCCATCCCCACGGACTCCTCGTACTCTGGGCGGAGACCGCCGCAGACCGTCAGAAGAGCGCCGAAGGCCGCCCGATGCCGATGGGCAGCAGAGGGCCTCGTGGTCGAGTGCGCAGCGCAGCGGCGCGCATCTTGAGGTTCCCTGACGCACATGGCGCGCTTTGCTCTGATCGTCGCCTCCAAGGTCTGGGGCGGCGGCAGCGGCGTTTGACCCCCCCCCCTCTCCCCCTTCTCGACGTTCCTGGCTAAGGTGCCCTTGGCCCAAGGTGCCCTTAGCTTCTCGCTCCATGTTGGAGGCTCTGGGACCCCTTTAGTCGACGAAAAACAAAACCACATAAACATACACTTTTGGCGCTCCGCGCGGGCCCCCATGGCGGCGCCAGCGCGCCAGGGAAAAGAGTCTTGCGCGGATCCAAGAAATCCGCGCGGAGCGCCACAAATTTCTGTTTATGTGTTTTTTTCTGCTTCTGTTTGGGCCTCGTGAGGGGTGCGCAGGCGGCCGCGGGGGCCTCCCGGGACGTCCCGGGGACACCTTGGGCCATGGGGCACTTCAGCAGCGCCCAGCCCTCCTGCCGCGGCGTGCGGGGCTCCGCCCGTCAGGGTGGCGATCTCTACTCCGAGGTTCGTCCCCCCGTCGTCCCCCTCACTGCTCCTACGGTGGGGACCCATGCCAAGAAACACCCTGCTTGCCTCCAGGGTGCCCTGGGTTTCGAGGGTTTTGAGGGTTTTGCGATGGAAGACGCGACGTTCCCACAACAGGAATCATTGTGTCAAAGGACGTCCTGGGTCTCAGGGTCGGGTTTCTGGTGGACGGTTTCTTGTGGACTGTCCTCCACTGTATCCATTTGTTCTCGCGCTCTCTGCTGCCCCCTTCTGCTTCCCCGCGGCCCTCAGCCCGAGGCGGAGCTTTGTCCATAACCACCGCGGGGGGGATCGATCTTCACGGGCCTCCACAGGCGGTGGATGTGGATAGATTTGGGCCCCCGGAGGCCAAAGCATATCCACATCCACCGGCCGCTGGGGCACCATGACGTCGGTTCCCAGGCGGTGGATATGGCTACCTCCCCGCCTCGCAATCGTCGTCAGAGCGAGCCCGACCCCCACTGAGCCGGGGCACCGTGGCTCCCCCGGCTTGCCCTCTCTGCGTGGGGGAGGGGGCCCCAGGGAGCCCGCGGGAGGTGGCGCCCACGTCTCCTCCCGGGCTGGGGAGGTCGGGAAGGTTTCCTGTATGGCACGGGGATGGCTGCACGTATGCAGAGAATCCTCCGCCACCCCTCCCCCGCAATCCAAAGCACGTTTCTTGAAGACCACTCGGAGGCCCCAAATCCGAAGATCCGACACCAACATTGCACTTGGGGGGAAGGGGGGAGAGTTCAAACCATAAGTTCCGCATGAATGTTGCTTAATTGTTTCCGACACCTGCACGGCACATCCCCGCCTCGCAATCCTCGTCAGAGCGAGCCCGACCCCCCCTGAGCCAGGGCGAGGTGGCTCCCCCGGCGCGCGCCCCTTCTGCGCGGGGAGGGGCCCCGCGGAGCTCGAGGGAGACGGCGCCCACGTCCCCTCCCAGGGTCATCAGCGAGGTCGGCCTCTGCGGCCAAAGTTTTTTGGTGGACACGGGCATGGCTGTACGCATACAGAACTTACTCGAAGAAGAAAAATGCATAAACAGAAACTGCTGGCGCTCCGCGCGAATTTCTTGGATCCGCGCTGGGCCCCCCCCCGAAGGCGCCTCCGGCGCTGCCCCTGGCGCGCTCCGCGCGCCAAGGAGGGGGTTCTTGCGCAGATCCAAGAGATCCGTGCGGAGCGTCAACAGTTTATGTTTATGCCGTTTTTTGTTTTCTATCGATCATTTTTCTCTCGCCACCCACTCCCGTTGAAGGAACGAAAAATTGCAAGGACAACGCCCGAAGCAGAAAGAACCCAACTCCCCCCTCCACCCCGTGGACCATAACGTCGGCAAGTGTTGCGATCGAGATGTTGGGCTCGAGGTTTTTCAAGCCCCTCTCCTCAGGGACCGCTTGTTCAATATTGGGGCCTGGGGCGGAGGGGGGTCATGCGAAGTGGCTCCCAAGCGTTTGCTGCACAGCTTTTCCCTCAACGGTCTCATCCTCCCCCGTCGAGCGCGCGCGACGCGCGTCACCTGGCGACGACGGCCAACTTCAGCCCAGCGGTCGGCCGAAGAGCAGTCGCCACTGGCGCATGGCCGAGGCGATCCGGGCGGACGTGGCGGTCCAGGCAGACTGCCGGCCCGCAGCGCTCCGATCAGACCTGGTGGCCTTGGCCACGGCGGCCAGGGCCCGTCGAGGGCACGAGAAAGACCCCTGAGATGGGACGCTGCAAGAAAAATGCAGCCTCCGCAGAAAATCACGCCCGGATCCTCGGACCCCACCGTTCTGCGCGTGGCAGTGTCATCTTCCTCCTGCTCGTCCTCCTCCTCCCAGTCCTCCTCCTCCAACTCCACCTCCTCCTCCTCCTCCTCCTCCTCCTCCTCCTCCTCCTCCTCCTCCTCCTCCTCCTCCTCCTCCTCCTCCCCCTCCCAGCCTCCGAGAGGCCTCTTCAAGGACCCCCCCCCCAGCCCCTGAAATCCTGGCGTTGCAATTTTTTCGCAACGGGCGTTTTCGCTCGATGTTCTGGGCCCCGGGACCCTCACATATCGATATCCCGCTCGAAACATGACGCAGGAAAATGGTGCCCAGGGGTCCGGGCGTGATCGTTTTTTTCTTGATGCTGCACAATTTTTTTTTGGCAGCGTCGGATCGCGGGTGCCTCTGAGAGGCCTCCCCAGAATCCCCCCCCCCCCTCGAGCCCTTCTGGGCCCTGGCAGAGAGGGCCCCCCGCCCCCCGCCTTCCCGAGAGGCCCGGAGCCGCCCCCTCCGAGGGAGGGCCCCCGCCTGCTCTGTTCTTTCTCGTGGCGCGCGCGCCGCTCCGAGGAGGCCGAGATCAGCGCCGCTCCCCCCCCCCCGCGCGTCGAGCGTGTTTCCCCCGCTCAGCAGATACAGTCGACCCGCAGAAGCAGGATGGGCAGCCTTCCCAAGGGTGCCCCCGCATCCCCGCCCCTTCGGCCCATCCTTGGCCACTCTCCTTGGCCGCCCAGGGCCCCTGCACCCTCCTCGCGCATCCCTGTGATGTGGGCGAGCGAGTGCTCCCGCGCCAGGACGAGGACCTGCCGCCCTGGGCCGACACCGCCGGCGTGATCCGGGAGCCCCCCCCTCGCGGGCGGGCCCGGGCGGCGCGCGGCGCCGCCTCCGCCGCCACGGCGCACGGCGGCTCCGCGGGCCACGGCCCGCCGTCGCAGAGGGTCGAGACTGATCGGTGTGGAGTCGGGCCCGTCCCTCTGCGGGAGGAGTGCGCAGGAGCGGTCAGAAGATGGTCCGGAGACGGTGCTCCTTTTGTTGTTTTGCACATTGTTGTTTACGGTTTGACTCTTTGAAACTTTTCTTCCCAAATCCGCCTGTCGGAGGACATGCCCGACCTCCTGCGCGTTCGCGGACCGGGCCTTCTGCGCTATTGGGGCAATATGCTCCAGGGAGGGAAAGGCGCCCGGACCCGATAATAGGCGTTTGTTGAATGGCCCTGGGCGTTTAGTAAACAGCCCTGCCCTGTTCGATTCCTTCCTTGGGTGCGCTCACTGAACGGGCTTCGCGTGTCGGGGTGACTACTATGGGGGTGGATTTTTTGCCCTCCGTATGCGGCCCTCGGAAGCGTCTCTTGCGCCCTCTCGCCGCGCCCTCTCCCATGCAGCCCCGACGGCACACATGTCTGCGTCGGCGGCTGGGCAGAGGGTGACTGCTCTGGCGGAAGGGCAACAGGGGACACGCTGTATGCAAATTAAGGCCGCAGCACGCCAGGATCTCGTGACCCTGCGGCGCTCGAGCAGGAGGCCTCCGTGGGCGCCGCGCGCGACGGGCGGCCCCGCCGCGGGGGGGCCGCGCCTCGGGGGCCGTCTCCCAGGGAGGCCTCTGGAGGCCTCCGTGGGGAAGCCCCGGGAGGCTCTCTCGAGCCCCCGGGGGCCCTTACGAGTAAGTCGGGCAATATTCAAAAATAGTCAAAACAACTAGTCTGGGGACGATGTCTCGACTATTTTTGAGTATTTGTTTGGCATTTGTTGATTATCTTTTATTTTTCGTCCAAAATCCCCCTATAGGGGGGGATATTCAAAAATGGTCTAAAAAATGTGGACGATTTTGTTAGTATTAATATTTGGGGTGCATTTGGGGAGCATTTTTGGGGGTATGGTTTAATTTTTTCGTTCAAAATCCGCCTGTAGGAGGACATGCCCGCCCTGACTCTGGAGGCCTCCTTGGGGAAGCCCTCGGAGGCTCTCTCGAGCCTCCGGGGGCCCTTGGGGAGGCTTGCGGAGGCCGCTCGGAGGTCGCTGGAGGCCCTGTGGACCCTGAGATCCGACGTTGCAAAAAAGTCGCGACATCGGAAGCAATCACGCCCGGAACCCCAGACCCCATCTTTCTGCTGCATTTTTCGAGCCGGATCGATATGTGAGGGTCCCTGGGCCCGAAAAAAGACGAGAACGCCCGGCTCGAAAAAAAATAGTCGCCAGGATCTCAGGGGAGGCCCTCGGAGGCCTCTGGGGACCCTCGGACCCAGACCCCCTCGAGCCATGAAAAAATCACGACGGAAGGATTTTCGCTATTTTCGGTCCCTGGGGGCCCTGGCCAGGCCTCTGGACCGTCAAAAAACGACTCGGGATGAAAAACCGGTCCTGGGGAATTGGGTCCGGACCTCTACAGACAGGTGCGAAAGTTTCCTTAAATTGGGCACGCGCAATTTTTCAGCGAACCGCATCACATGGCGAGGCGGTCTCCCTGGCGGCGGTCCAGGTCCTTTACCTTGGACGGCAGCCCGCGGCACTGGCCGTCGACGTCACAGGCGATATTGATTTGCGCGGCGCAGGCCTTCAGCCGGGCGCGGCACGCTTCCAGGGTCTCCTCCCAGCACCGTTTCGGGGGCGTTTTCGTGAGCCTGTCCCGCATCCACGACACCGCGGTCTCGTGGAGCATGACCTCCTGGAGCTGGTCGGGCTGCACAGAAGCGTCCGCGGGAAAAAATGCCCTCACGTCGTGGCGCCTCAACGCCCCGCGGTACTCCTCGGCGACTGCCCCTGAGCCGGCGTTGTAGAAGCCGTTCCCACGGTCCGCGAAGGGCACGCGAGGCTGCCGGCCGCCCCCGGGAAAACGTACATTCAGAGCCATGATCTCGGCCCCCAGCAGAGTCTCCCCAGAGAAATCGTCAGGCAGCGGCTCGATGTGGAGCTTCCCGCGCGTGAGGACCAGGGCCCACGACGCCTGCACCGCGTCAGAGCTATTCAACTTGAGGTGGCGTTTAGGGCCGCGGAGGTTCTGCGATTGCGCCTGAGAGCCTTCACTCATCCATCCTTTCTTCCCCTTTCGCGCAAGCGCCATGTCTTGCGCCTTCTTCTGAGTCCGAGGGAGGACAGAGTTGCAGAGGTCACACCGCGCGAGGCTGTCGTAGTACCATTGCGGCCCGCGCGACAGAGATATCACGTGCTTCGCGAAATCCCAACGCCTCCGCTTGGACACGTCGTCCAGCGCGTTCCGCGACAGGCGCGGCCTGTTGTCCCACGGATCGTCCGCTCCTTCATCGTAGCAAGCCTCCCAGAATACAGCGCAGACTGCCCTCTTGTCCACGGGCTGCTCCGTGTCGGGGTTCAACGCAGCAGTCGGGCACGCGGCCGCGATAGCGGCGTATGTGGGCTCCTCGCATTGCTTCTTCAGACGCTTCGCTGCCGCCACACTGGCGGTCTGCTTCGGGCCCCGCAGGACGCGCTTCCGACCGCGGAGCCCCCCCTCGGTCAGTTTCTCCCAGGGTGCCACTCGGGGTCGGCATCCACGCGCTCGAAGAACTCCTCGATGGACTGCGATGTAGGATGGTCGCCGGAAGGGCTTCCTGGCCTTCGTCTTCCTCGCGCAGCTGGCCACGAAGGACATCGCGCCGTAGGCGCTCTTCCCCTCCTCGCGCCACACCTCGCGGAGCGCCCGCGCCCGCGCTCGCTCGCGCCCGCAGAGGCCCCCCTCCTTGCCCGCGAACCACGCCCTGCTCAGCGCCGCCTGCTTCGACGCGTCGCGAGGCCAGGGGGCGCCCGGCGCCGCGCGCGAGAAGCCAGGGCCAAGGCGGCCGCGGACAGCGAGGGGGAAGAGAGGAGGGGTGCCAGGGGGCGAGGCCGAGGAAGCGGAATGACATGAGCAAGATTCATGGATGCGCGGCCACACATACCCAGACTGGGTCACGCAAGGACTCAATCGTTCCTAGGCCCACTCGTGCACAGACCCGTTCCTGCTGAGCCGCTGGCGGCTAGACCCATCCGTAGCCGTACTTGCTCACGTCCACGCACCTTCTTCACGTTGAGACCATAATGCGTAGACGCACTCATGCCCAGATGCACCCGTGATCAGACGCACGCCCATTCATATGCACCCCCTTTTGGGCTCACTCACGCACAGACCTACGCAGACCCAGGCGCACCCATGTCCAGACTCGTCCGCGTTCATGCCCAGCCCGCCCGCCGCGCGCTGGGGCTCACTCGCACCGAGTCAGTTGGACTCTCCGCGGGGTGGCGCCAGCCGAGGGCGCGCGACGGCCGCCCCCCAGGAACCTTCAACAACTCGGGAGGCTGAGGCCTCCACGGGGGCCCGCCGCCTGTCCTTGCCGCTGAGGCCGCGGCGCCGGTGACCCCGAGTCGCTGAAGGCCCCAGGAGGGATCTCGACGCGCCCTCGGTAGATGTCGATTGGGAAAAAGAACGCAACATGAACAGTTCAAACAGGTTCGACAGCGCGCGAGCGCGCTTTCTTAGGGGCAGCAGGAACCTTGTGAATTCACCGGGTTCCGTCACGCTTGCAACGTCGGAACCATCGTGGAACCATCCTGGAAACATGCAGGAACCCTGTGAATTCATTCGGCTTTGTCACGCTTGCTGCGTCGGAGCCATCGTGGAACCAAGCAGGAACCCTTTGAATTCGCGCGATTTCGTCGCGCTTGCAATGTCGGAAGCATCGTGGAACCATCGTGGAACCAAGCAGGAACCTTTTCAACTCATAGAAAGTTTCGTCACACTTGCGACGTTGGAACCATCGTGGAACCGTCGTGGAGCCAAGCAGGAACCCTGTGAATCCATAGGGGGTCGTCACACTTGCGGCGTCGGAACCATCGTGGAACCAAGCTGGAACCCTGAGAATTCATAAGGTTTCGTCACGCTTGCGACGTCGGAACCATCGCGGAACCAAGCAGGAACCTTGAGGATTCACAGGGTTTCGTGACATGTCAACCTCTCGGGGCCATCGTGGAACCAAGCTGGGACCACCGCGGTCGGGCGCCAGACCTAATGAAACATTGCGGATCGGCGACCGCGGGTTCGCCGCCCCTAATCCTATTATAGTATTAGTTAAACGTAGTGCACGGCGCATCTACGCCCCTGCGCCCCGGAGCAGAGGGGCACCTTCAATTGTATTATAGGAGGGCCGCTGGGCCCCAAGCCTGGACCCCCTTTCCGCGCTCCAGGCATCGGAGCGGGCGGGGAACTGCATTGCGATGGATGTATTTTTTCTAGCTGAGAGTCTCCCAGCCCCGCTCGCGCTCCGGGCTCGCGCCCGCGGAGGCCTCCCGGCGCCGCGGGGCCCACCTCCTGCGAGACGCGCCAGAGCTGACGGAGGGCGCGGGAGAAGACCGCGGGGGCGTCGCCGGCGCTGGGGCCACGACCTTCGCCTCCCACACGGGCTCTCCGACGAACGCCTCCACTGCTTTCGTCTGGGTCCAGTTCTTGTCAGCGAAAGACTAGTCATCGTACGTCCAGTTGATGGTCGTCAACATGAGTGGTGTCTTTCAGAGCCATACTTCGTCGACGGGGATCGCCTTGTGGGTCTTTCGTTGAAAGCAACGCAAATCCGGGTGCTCTGCGCGCTGCGCATCTACCACGAGCGTCTGCGCGCCCCCGAACAGGCGCCGTGCCAGCCGAGATGTGCCCGTGCAAGAAGGGCCAAAGAGAACCAGAAACTTGCACCATTCATCCTCTTCCTCGAACTGCAACCTCCATCGTTGGATCTGATCAGGCAGGGGCTCGAAGGGCAGCGCCTGCGTTGCGATTCGCGCCCGCGCCTCCTCCTCCTTCTATTCCGCGCGCGACGGCGCGCGCCCGTCCGCTTCTGTTGCCGAAGCTTCATCGACAGATCCAAAAACTGGGCGTGGTCAAGCTTGCGCCGCCTGTGCAGGACCATGGCCCAGGCGCGCTCCGGAGACCATTCCGATTCCCAGGGCGGATAGTTTGATGCGTTCTTCAAAGTTCCCTGCTTCTTTGCCCATGCATAGAAATGTCCGTGCTGCGCGGCTTTCATCCAGTGCCGCGGGCCTCGCCCCTCGGTATTCTTGCCCACGTGCGGCTCCGCGCCCCTGAAGACCCAGGAGTCCTGAGTCCTGTGGCCCACGCCTTTGCTTCCCCCGCCGTGCCAGAAAAAGTAGCAGTGCAAGTGCGCGCGGCCAGCGTCAGTTGTATACAGGGACTCCTCCATGGTTGCACTCCAGTTCGCGATGCCGATTTCCTTCTTCCGATCCTCTATCCACGACTGGCACGCCTGCCGCAACTCCGGGGACGCGACAAAGGCCAAGCAATTGAAGTTGAGTGTGACGGCCCTGCTTTTCAGCCGAAGCGTTTTGCCCGCCTGCGCCCGGCACTCAGCGTGTCCAGGGACCCGCTCGCGCCCGTCGGGCCCGTCGTCGGCGTCCTCGTCCGCTCCAGGATCTGGTAGCTCAGGAAAGGATCCGCCGCCGCCAGTCTGTATCCACTGGCCCCTCGCTGCTCAGAGCTCCGGCGCCCGCTCGGCAGGCAGGACGTCGCACAATGCCTTGAAAAGGCCCACCACTGCCTGGGCCGCTGGGCAGAGAGACACCGCGTCCAGGTCGAATTGCCCTGCCAGGGAGTTCAGCGCCTTCGCGGCCTCGTTTCGCCGCCCTCGCCGCGCAGTCTTGTCATCGGCCATGACTGCCCTGGCCGGCGGCTCGGGGCGACTCCGGCCTGGGCCAAACTTCTACAGTGCGATCGGGCAGTGAGGGTGCGCGGTAAGGATGCGAGGCCCTTGGCCGTCCAAGGAGAAAACCTTCGAGGGGAACTGTGCCCGGATGGACCGCAAGTGGCATCGGTGCAGGGGTGCCCTTCGAAAACCACTCACCCCCATGATGCGGTTTGACTGCGCGGCGCGGCGCGGTCCGCGAGGCCGGGTGCCCCGCCCGCGCCACCTTCCGCGCTCGAGATCGGACGCGTTTCACCTCCGCCTGCTTCCACGGCCCCGCCGCGCGTCTTCCGTGGAGGCGAGGCCCTCTCCTGCTCTCCAGGCGGCTCCTTCGGACAGCCATCGCTTTCACGTGCATCATCGATTAACTTCCGCCTGCTTCCGCAGCCCGCCCGCCGCCTTCCGCCAGGATGGCTGCGCCTCCCACTCGCGTCCACGCATGGTTCTTTCAACCGAACAGCGCCGACGCAACCAATCCTCGGACCGCTTTCAGGCGGCTCCCTCCGACAGCCCTCGCGCGCGAAGCGTCTTCGATTTACCTCCGCTTGCTTCCAGCGCCCGTCCGCCGCCTTCCGCCGCAAGGTGGGGCGCCTCCCCCCTCGCGCCGTCGCATAGCTCTTCAGGCCAACCGGCACCGACGCAACCAGTCTCTGGACCGCCCCTGGAGCGCGCTCCGGCCAGAATTCCGACGCGAATCCAGTTGCGGCGACAGGGCCCCCCCAGGGCGAGCGGCGGACCAGCCATGTGACGTCGCGTCGTGGCCTCGGCTGCCCGCGAGCCCGGCGACTCCGCGTCTCCTGCCCTGCCCCCCAGCCCTGGCCTCGTCTCCCCTCCGTGCCCGCCCCTCCCCGGGAGTCAAATCTAAGGAAACAAGTCGCACCTGTCTTTAGGGGTCGAACGAACGAACAAGCCATACGCCGCCAAGGCGCGTGGGCAAAACGTGCGTCTCACGTAGCTCAGCGCGGGCTCGCAGAAAAACCGCGGGCAACGAGATTGCGTCATGCATGTTGCTGTGTGCCTCCTGCCAGGGCGTCAGGGCGCGAAGAACAAGGACGTATGTTACACAATCATGAAAATCATGACGTCGGGGGGTCTGGGGAGGCCCTCGGAGGCTCTTTGGAAGCCTTGGCGTCTTGGCGTCGTGGAGCAGCACGCGCCCGTGTGCCGCATCGCCGATGCGTCGGCGATGCGGCTCGATGCGGAGCTCGACTTTCTTCACGCCGACATCGCCGATGCATCGCCGACGCTCCTCCAGCACACGGATGCATCGGCAATGTGGCGCGATCCTCCGACGCCAGCTGCTCGGACCCCATTCGGGAGGCCTCTTGTCTCGGGCCTTGGGATCCCTTCTCGGATCCATCCTCTCGGGGGGGGAGGGGGCCCGTGCGAGAATGGGGGGGGCGGGGGCCCCAGTCGTGATTCGCTCGCGGCGTCGCCAGTCTCTCGAGGCGGTCGGAGGTCGTGGCCACAGGGTGATCAGGGGAGGTTCTGCGGTAGCGGCAGCGTGTCTCTCGTCGGCTCTTCCCTGCCTGGGGGGGCCTGCCTCGGGGGCGGGGGCAGCTTGCCAGAGAGGATGGCACAGCGACGCGTGCCCGGAGACGACCGCGGGGCCCTTCCACTGAGAAAGGGAAGGAAGGGAGGAGGGAAGGAGGGAGGGAGGAAGGGAGGAAGGAGGGGAGGGGGGAGGGAGGAGGGGAGGGGAGGGAGGGCGGGAGGGGGGGAGGGGGACGGGGGGGAGGGAGGGGAGGGAGGGAGGGAGGGGAGGGAGGGGAGGAGGAGGAGGAGGAGGAGGGAGAGGAGGAGGAGGGGCGCGGGGCCCTTCCACTGAGAAGGCCCGGTGCCCCCTTCGAGGGGCCCCTGGCACTGGGCGCACGAAGCGCTGCCCCCGGCAGCCGCGCTGGCTCGCGCACGCAGCCTCTGGCACGGCCGCCAGGGGACGGCCGCGCGCCGCCGCGGCTGGCGGGCGGAGGAGGCTCGAAGGCTCGACGCCTGGTGCTGGAGGCGAGGGGGTCCGGGGTCATCAGGCAAGCATGCAGTCAACCCGCGTAGTAAGGACGGGCAACCGTCCCAAGGGTACCCTTGCACCCTTGCCTCCTCGGTCCATCCTTGGCCACTTTCGTTGGCCGCGCCCCGCTCGAAAAGCTTCGACGTGGCCTTCCAAGGCCCTTGCATCCTTATTGCGCATCCTTACTATACTGGTTGACTGTAAGCAAGCATACTACAACCCCGAACCCTGATATCTAGACCGACCCAGATGGGGTCCGGGTAGATGGGGCATGAGGATCACGCCGCGTCGATGTGGAGCACGATTTTCTCCACGCCGACGTCGCGGGTGCGTCGCCGACGTCGCCGATGCATCGGCCATACATTGGCGATGCCGCGCAATCCTTCGACCCCATCTGCTCAGACCCCACCTAGGTGGCCTCTATAATAGCACAATGAGTTCGTGGCGTCACTTGGGTACATTTTTGTTGAGGGATGTCCCTGAAGACATGTGGGCGGCTTCGTCTGACGCGTCTGCAGAAAAAAAAGGCCCCATATCCCTCCTGGTTCTAGCCCTCCTCACTCCGGTCCCCTCCCAAAGGATTGAGGATACTCATGTTGCTGATCATGGGGAGTTGCTCTGCTGCCGCAAGGGGGGGGGGGGCGGAAGGGTCGAAAAAGAAAAATCTGCACGAGCGCAAATTTCTGGAGCTCTGCGCGGATTCCCTGCATCGGCGCTGGAGCCCCTGGCGACGCCTCCGCCGCAGCCCTTGGCGCGCTCCGCGCGCCAGGGAGGGGGGCTTCCATCGCCGATCCACGAAATCTGCAATGCCCTCCGAAAGTTGATGTTCATGCCGAGCTTCTCTTTCCCCACGGGGCGGGCGCATGTACCCAGACCCCCGACGTCACGATTGCTTCGCAGCGTCGATCCCGAGAGGTCTGGACCCCTTCCCCAGGACCGGTGTTTCGTCCTGGGTGGTGTGTCGACGGCCCTGGGGCCCGGCAAGGCCTCCCCAGAGGCCGCGCACAGCGAAAGGACGCCCCGTCGTGATCTCTTCGCCTCGCGAGGGGGTCCGGGCAGTGCGTTTCAATGGGAAGTGCCCGGCGGCCCGCGCTCTCGGAGGGAGCACGGGCTTCTTCCGCTGCCGGCCTCCCTCCTCCTCCTCCTCCTCCTGCTCCTCCTCCTCCCCCCTCCCTCCTCCCTCCCTCCCTCCCTCCCTGCCGCCTTCGCCCCCTGTCGCAGGATGTCCTCGCAGGGAAGCCGTTCGACGAGGTCCTGCTCAGCATGCGCGCGCGCGAGGAGACCGCGCCGCCGGCGCCCGACCTCCCTGCCGGGCCAGTGCTGGTGAGGTCGGGGCTCACCCCAGTTCGTCGAGCAGCACGCACGCGTACCCACAGGTGGGACGGAGGGGGGCCGTGGGTGCGTGTGGTCGGATGGGTGTCCTCGCTCGAACGGGAGCGTACCACGGGGTCCGACAACCCGCACGCACACATACCCATAGCCAGTCCTTCTCCCTCCGATCCTCCATGCGTATGTGTGTGTGTGTGTGTTCAGGAAAAGGCACCCCCTGCCGCTACCCTCGCCTCGTGTTCGCCTTGTTCGACCTCTTGGGAGGCCGTCGTCGCCACCGCCGGACTCGCCTCGAAATTCTGGTCAGAACGGCCCTTCATTAATACCTTTTGATTTCCCCACCCTAGCTGGCTGCCGAAGGTCCCCCCCAGCACACCAGTCGCCGCTAAACGAAATGTGACGCGGCCCGACAGCGCGCCGTCGAGCTCACCAGGAGCGCCCAGAGCTCCTCGGAGCTCGTGGGGCCCTGACAGAGCAGCTACAAGACGCGATATTCGGGACTCTGGGAGGCCTCAGGACGCTGCACTCAGTGCCTCCTATACGGTGGTGGATCATCATGGCTCGGAATCAGGAAACTGCTTGCGCGGTAACGGTATGCTTTCCAGCGTGGGCCCAATCAGTGCGTTCTTGCATCTAAGGTTTGCTATCTGAGGTCGTCAACCCCACTACTCGTGTAAACATCTCACCCTCCCACCCGCAACTTGCTGGCAACGCTTAATTGGCAATGATCTTAACGAACGCATCGGCGCGTGGAACTGGCGGCGACGGAGATGACCGCGACGCCAGCGACGATGGAGATGACAATGGTGATGACGCTGATGCCGATGGCGATGACAGTGGAGATGGGGACCGTACGATGTCGATGACGAAGATGGTGATGGTGATAGTGGACACCCCGTTTGTCGATGTCGATGTCGATCACCCCGTTTAGCACTGTAAAGGACAAATTCGGCGGGGGGAGGGCGGGATGGAACGGGGCCCAGGGGTGGGGGTCCTAGCACTGTAGTCACGCCTCGCTCTCAAGCGGGAGCAGTTCGCGTGTGCGTGCACGTGCGCGCGCGCGTGCCCGACCGAGCCCGACTCAGACCCCGAGCCCGAGCCCGAGCCCGATCCTGAGCGCGTGCGCGTGCGCGTGCGCGTGCGCTTGCGCGTGCGGGTACGCGTGCGGGTGCGCGTGCGGGTGCGCGTGCGGGTGTGGGTGTGGGTGGGTGTGGGTGTGGGTGTGGGTGCGGGTGCGGGTGCGGGTGCAGGTGCGTGCGTGCGTGTGTGTGTGTGTGTGTGTGTGTATGTGTGTGTGTGTGTATGTGTGAGAGTGAGTGTGTGTGTGTATGTGTGTGTATGTGTGAGAGTGAGTGTGTGTGTGTGTGTGTGCCTGCGTGCGTGCGTGCGTGCGTGCGTGCGTGGGTGGGTAGGTGGGTGTGTGTGTGTGTGAGTGTGTGTGTGTGCGTATGTATGTGTGTCTGCTCGATTCATATGCCCCGCCCTTCCCAGCACGTACATGGCCAGCATCTGCCAGGGCAGGGAAGCTGCGGGTGTGATGCTCACGCCAGGCTTCCGTCTCCGCACCATCGTGGCCGTGGCTTGCTTCTGCGACCCTTTTTGCGAACCCTGCCCCTGCGGGTCCAATCGACGCTGGGGTCATTGGGCACCCTCGCGAGGGGCCGCTTGGCTGAAGGCATACTTCGAACTTTCCTCCTCCTCCTCCGCCTCCTCTTCCTCCTCCTCCTCCTCCTCCTCCTCCTCCTCCTCCTCCTCCTCCTCCTCCTCTCCTCCCCCTCCCCCTTCCCCCTCCTCCCCCTCCTCCTCCTCCTCCTCCTCCTCCTCCTCCTCCTCCTTCTCCTCCTCCTCCTTCTCATCCTCCTCCTCCTCCTCCTCCTCCTCTTCCCCCTCCTCCTCCTCCTCCTCCTCCTTCTCCTCCTTCTCCTCCTCCTTACCCAGCTGGCGTCTCAGAAGTCTGACCTGCACGGGTAGGGTCAACATATGATCGCCCGCTGTCCCGATCATTCTCCTGGCGCTCCTGGCATCGCTTTTGTGATCGCAGCCTGCAACAAAAAGTCTCGAGGGCGACGCCTTCCGCATCTTCATCCCCTACCTCTTCGGGGAGACAGTGGCTGCCCTCCTAGTCGGCCTTCCCGCTTCCCCTACCCCACTCGACAAAGGCAAACGTGCGTAGGCATTTTTTGTTGTTGAAGGTCTGCGCGGGTTTCTCGGAACGGCGCTCGGCGCCCCCTGGTGGCCCGCGGCGCCTCCGGAGCTGCATTTGGCGCAGTCCGCGCGCCAGGCAGTAAGGGCCAGCACCGACCCAAGAAATCCGCGCGGACCTTCGAACATTTATGGTTATGTTGTGGTTATGCTGTTGGTTGCTTGGGTTTTGATGGTTTTGGTATGGAAAACATGACGCTCCCACACAAGAAATCAATTGACGTCCTGGGGTCTCAGGGTTGGTTTCTTGTGGAAGGGTTCTTGTGGTCGAGCTCCTGCTGTACTGTTTCCGAGCCTCCCCACTCCTACCAGGCTGAAAAGCCACCGCCGTGTAAGTCACCATACCGTCGAAGCTTCAGTTTACGAGGTGCTCTCAAAAGGCAGGTGGATCTGCCCAGCCGGTCGGTGGATGGGATCTTTCGGTTTCAAAAGCTTTAGATCACTCATCGTCCACTCTCCCAGCGCATTCCCTGAACTCTCACGGGGCAAGTGTTCAGTTTTGCCCCTCGCACAGGTGCCAGATTGAGCCCACCGAAGCAACAGGAGCAACACAGTGCAGCATTTATGTACAAGACGTTTGGAGGGCCGCACAGTGTCAGCGATCGTGCGTCCCTCCGCGATCATCGGCATCACATGTTCACCATCTCGTTCCACCTCTTGACAGAGCACCCATTTCAGACTCGGGGATCCCGCGGGAACGCCAGGCTCCTTCCTGAGCCTGCCGGAGGCCATCCGCTCCGGCCCGCCAGAGGCCCCAGCGTGCGAACAGAGGGCTGCTGGGATTTTCTGCGGCCCGGCGATGGGGCCCTCTCACGCCGCCCGCGCTGCCCATCCCCGCGCACCCCGCTCCTCCCTCTTCCCTTGGGGGGAGGGCCTTCGTCGCCACGGCTAGTCGCTGCTCCGCAGGCAGGACAGGGCGGTGCCCGGGGGAGGGGCCTGGGGAGCGGTCTCGCGGGCGGGTGCGGGGGGGGGGGGAGGGGCGAAGGGAGGCACGCGGGAATCGGCAGGAGGGGGAGGGGGAGGGACGGGCCAGTTGCGTTCGCGCCACATCTGACATCCTGCCGCTCCATCGCCCCCGCATCTCATGCCTGAACCCCCCACCCCCCCAGCCGGAGTTCTTGTCTTCCTTCCGCGGGGATTCCACCTTCGCGGCGACCCGTTAAACTTGGGACCCTTGGTGGCGCAATGGATTGTTGTCCTTCTTCCGCGCGCGCATTGCCAATGGAACCCTTGAAGCACTCCGGCTAGAGTGCACCTAGTACTTGAGTACAATTGGTACCATTAGCAGCTAGCGCGCAGCTCCTCCTAGAGTGCATCTGGTCCCGCAGTACAGCATTGTGATTGAGGTATCTCAGGAAGCATCATAGACTCGTGACTAGGGATAAGGAAACACTGTGGGATCGCGACTTGGGCGCACGGAGGCAGAAAATAATCGCGATTAATAAGCTGTCAGTAATTGTATACAGTAGTGTCGGTTTCGCTAATAGGACACACAGTAGCGTGCAAACAGTATTAGTACAATTCCGAGTACAACTACTATTAGAGTGATGCTTCATTACTTTTACAATCTGAGCTCTCGCGCTTTTCCTCCTCTGGTTGCGTTGGGGGGGTGGGACCGCGCACGCCAGCGCCTCCGCAGCTGAGAGTCTAGACTGTTGGCAGGGGTAACCCCCGTGCCCGAGCCCCTTGCCAAGGATTTCTTTTTCTTCCGCGGAAGCCGAACCCCGTGGGTTCCTCGGCTCGCCCTGGCAGTGCTCACCTTCCGGATGGCCCCCCATGGGTCTTATGTTGGAGTCGCCCGGGTGATACCGCCCGCACCCACCTTTTCCCATTGCGCCGTTTTTTTCTCTGTCCGCGGACTCGAGTCATAGCGGACTTGGAACTCCCAAAAAGACGCCGCGTTATGCGCAATCGGATAATGGGAGCTGCGTGAATATGAGGAGGAGGAAGAGGACGAGGAGGAGGACGAGGACGAGGACGAACAGTAGCAGCGGGAACCGGAGTGGAAGGAACGGGAGTAACAGGAAGACCAGGGGAGGGCGGAGGAGGGGAAAGGAGGGCGTCGAAAACGATGAGGAAATATTCGGATCCAGAAAAGTAGCCCGTTCACGGGCGAGAGCGCGATTTTCTAAAATGGAGTGAAGCCGCGATACTAAAATGAGGCCCACGCTGTAGCGGGAGCATCATTATGGAATGACCGACAGCGTTCGGATGAGACAAAAACGCGTAGGAACAGCACACTCTGCACCATCCTGTGCGCAAGAAACAGCACGCAGAGGGGAATGGGACTCCCCTGCCATCTTCGTGGGAGAGGCGAGAGTCGCAATTGTTCAGGCTGAAGAGTTGTGGAGCGGGGATGGGCCACGATCACTCCTAGACTACGCTGCGTCCCCGCTCCCGAGGCAACGATCCGTCGTGAAGCACGCGGCGTCCGCGCTCCCAGGACCGCGATCCCCTGTAAACTACGCGGGAGTCACGCTCTCAGGGCCACGACCATTCGACAATGACACTGGATGAGGTGGAGGAGGCGTCGTGAAAACAGTCCGAGGTGCGTTCTTACCTTACTTCGGGCCCCGAGATAATCACGGACCGAATTGGCTTGAAAAGAGCAGCACAGATGTATCCACCAGCGAATTTTCGGCCACGACGCCTTTTTGGTTGCCACGACGCCAGCTGGCAGGGTGTGTGCGCCTGATGTTCTACCGCCTGCGCACTTCCTGGTGCCCCTGTTGCCGCTGCCCCCTCCTGCGCGTCACCGGCGGACGCCACTCGGGAGGGCCTCCGGGTGGAGCCAGGAGAGGACCGGGTATAGATTCGAGCAGACCTTGCCGACTGCTGCCGTGGCGGCCGCGTCCGGCCCCCTCCGACCCCCGCGGCTCTCGATCAGAGCGCCGCGCCGGCCACAGGAGCAGTCGGCGCCGCCCGTGGGTTACGCCGCCTTCGGGTGGCCGCCGAGCCTGCCCTCCGCCCTCCGTGCGGCCGCCGCCGCCCTCGGCCCGAGGTCCTCATGGGCCTCCGGGCCAACCAGTTCATCTTCACGGAGCACGACAAGAACCTGGACCAGGCCCTCGGCGGGGTGGTGGGCACCGCCGTCTCCGGCAAGAAGACGATGGGGACCAAGGAGCGGGGGGCGTGCGACGCGTGGGCCTCCTTGCGCGCCCTGGTGTGGAGTCGGGCGTGTCCCTCGACAGGAGGAAGATTCAAAAACGGTCCAAAAATAGTCAGGGGACGATTTTTTGACGAGTTCTGAAGTTTCTTGGAGTATTTTAGCGTTTGTTTTCCTATTTCGTCCAAAATCCGCCTGTAGGGGACGTGCCCGACCTAACCCTGGTGGCGGATCCGGCCCGACCAGGGCCGCATTCGGATGTGCCTTTGCATGCGGGACGGGGACTGCTCACACGACCAGGGCGCTCGGCATGTGGCCGCCTCGGGTGCGCCCCGGAGTCTCGCCGCCAGAATCGCCATGCAATCGTGAAACATTTGGTCATTTTGGGGGCAGGCGTGGTCACCCGTCTGGCCCGCTGCCAGCCTCGTTGCTCACCCAGCTCGGTGTGTGATCATCGTCTCACGCCGAAGCTGTCGGAGAGAGCGATGCCAGAGCATAGCCATTCCATCCTCGCCACTCCACCCTTCTCCTTCCTCCCCTCCCCTCTTGCCTATCACTCTCCGCCGTGCCACGAGTAATTATGTCAATGCTTCGAGTTAGCGCAGAGCCGCAGAGAGAGAGAGAGAGAGAGCTAGAGAGAGAGCGGGAGAGACGGCGAGAGAGAGAGGGAAGGAGGCAAGCTTGATCCAGAGGTTGTTTGGGCGTTCCAGAGCACACTGGTGCGGCCGTTGCGCCATGTGTCCTCTGAGTTCGACGGCCGTCAAGGATTCTCGACCTGCTCGTGCTGTAGCAGCTTGTGCCCCGCCCCGTCCTCCACGTCATCCTTATCCTCGTCGTCCTTACGATGGATTGCCAACGCAAGGGCCATTCGTCCAATCAGCGCTCGTAAAGCACATCGCCTCGTGCCGTGCCTGAGTCATTCGCCACGAGTCTCGCTTCATGCCAGTGTTGGTCGGGCTCGTTCGTCCTTCTGTCCCAGATCTCGCCGCAACCCTAAACAGGAGCGCAAGGATACCGAGGCCGGCAAAATTTTCGATAAGGCGTCTGTGAATTTCTTCTCTAACAGGCAAGCCTTGGATCGTGCGACGGCGATATTCGTCGATTCGTCCGAGGACTTCTGCGATCAGATGGAGCGAGAAATCAAGCCAGATCAAAACGTGTTCGAGCTATTATGGAAGTACGTCGTCCAGACGAACGCCGACATGCTCTACGGGAATGGCGAGAACGCAGGTAAGATCGTGTGCAGGACCATCGATGCTATCAACAAGGAGGGGCTTTTTTCGCCTCAGGTGAAGAAGGCGGGTGATGACTTATCAACAGTTTTGAATGACAGCTACATGGACCGCATCAAGAACCCTGCGACGTATGCCGAGGAGGATTCCATGTTCACTGAGTTTTTTAGACTTTCGAAGGGCTCCGCTGATAAGGATATGCTGCAGGGCTTCCAGCAGTTCATGCTTACGCTGCAGCTCGCCGCAAACGGGAATCAGCTGGTCACCATCCGGTGAGCTCCGTTCGCTCTCTTGTCTCGAGTTTGGACCTTCCCATGGCCGCATCCACGCCCCAGCCTCTCTCCTGCACCGGTCCAGCTCCGCACCGCTCTTGTTTGCCTCCACCCCCCACCGGTCCAGCATACATTCTGGTGCCTCCCGGGTCCCCCCCCCCTCGGGGCTCAAGAGACGGGGGTCAATGCAAACGGGGTCAGCCAGAGCGTCTGCAGGGCCAGAGTCGCATTGACCCGGGTTTGGGTGCAGGATCTTGCAGGATTTTGCAGGATCCTTGGCATTGACCTGTGTTGGTCTGCAGGAGCTTGCAGGCGTCTGCAAGGCCTGGATCGACCCGGGTCAGCAGGCCCCCCCCCCCACCCTCTGGCCCCTCTCCAGCCCAGTCTCCCTCGCTTCTCCCAGGCCGTGCCCCGGGCTGGCTGGCGCCTCCCCACAGGTGGCTGATGTCCCACGTCTATGCGGACCAGCGCATCCTGGACGGTGTCCGGGCGGAGGTCCGCGGCAAGTTGGCGGAGAAGGGGGAGAAGCTGGGCCTCGAGGGTCCAGCGAGCATCCGCGACCTGCACCTCGACGACCTGCTGGACCTGAAGATCACCAACGCGTGCATCACCGAGGCGGTGCGCCTCCACAGCGACATCCCGGCCAAGCTGACGCTGCGCACGGCGGAGATCGACCTGGAGTTCGAGGGTCACCAGATCCCGAAAGGCACGACGATCTTCCTGTACGCGGACGCCGTGCACAAGGATCCGAAGTACTTCCCCGAGCCAGCCTCGTTCTGCCCCTTCCGGTACACGGAGAAGGAGGAGTGCAAGCGGAAGGAGCTCGATAGGGAGGTGCCATGCCCGCTCAGCTTTGTGTGAGGGGGATCGGTCCTGGTCAGGCGTGGAGGTCAGCGACCCATATATACCCATGGGCCGTTGAAAGTAGATACTTCTGGAGCCCCATATTCCAATATACGTTAAGCGCTTTCCTGGTTCAATGATCGAGTGGCTTCACCTTTTTCATCCTTTTTACATGGGGGCGGGCGGACACCCAATCTACTTTCAACGCCTTCCCACTCTATGTTTTTACCTACTTCTTCCGACCGATGGGTAATCTCGTGCGGAGCTTGATTGCAGTTTGGATGACCTCTGCAGATGGCAATGTGAAAACTCGAGCGAGGGTAGAACGCAGCCAGCAGAGAGATTGGATTGGCTTGTGCTACCGTGAGCACCGAAACCTTGAATTTCGATGCGGTCCCGGGATCGGTGACATTGTGCCGTGCAGGATGTATTCTCCCAACCAGAGAAGAGAGGCTTTGCGCCGCCGCGTTTCAGGTGGGGGCGACGGATTGCGTCACCCCTTTACCTCGCCTTCAGCACAATGTTCCTCATCCCTCAGCGCTCTCTTTGTCTCTCTCTCTCTCTCTCTTTCTGTCTCTCTCTCTCTCTGTCTCTCTTTGTCCCTGTTACTCTCCCTCTCTCTCTGTCTCTCTCTTTCTCTGTCTATCTCTGTTTCTCTCTCCATGTCTTTCGCACAAACACATACATATATACACATTCCCCAAGCAGTGCTTCCACGTAAGGGTTCTTACTTGGCTTAACCATCTCGGGGTGAGTGGCGGCTTTTGCGGGCGGTGCCGCCCGTCGCCGCCGTCGCCGTCGTCGTCGCCGCCGCTCGGGGCGAGTGGCGGCTTTTGCAAGCGGTGCCGCCCGCCGTCGCCGTCGTATACATTTTCCTGTCTTGAAGAGGGCATAGATGATCTCCCCCGCGGGATTGTCGCTCCCATTTTTCGCATTACAATTCACATGCGATTATGCCCCATCGGCCATCTTAAATGTGAAGTCGTACCGTCCCAGCCGAGCCCGTATCCCCCCCCGCCATCCGTTGCAACAAATCATATGCGCACGCACTCGTTTATAACAAATCAGCAGTTCTCAAAAGCGCCTTGCAACAAACATGCAACAAAAATGCACACGCGCGCGACGTCGCGCGCGCATGTAACGCGGGCGTGCTGAAATCCTTCAACAATTCGGTTTCGCAAGGGTTTCAAAACCCAGTGCCCAACAAGCATATAAAACAGATGTGTTCGCAACACGGATCTTCCAACTCGACAGAACTTGCGCGCGCGTTCTTGCGATTCGTATTCTTTTCTTATGCATATATATATATATATATGTTTTCAAATGTAACTTTGTTTTTTACATGATCAGAAAATGCTACCGAACGGGCTTCGCGCGCGCGTGTCGATATCGTTCGAACGCCTTTTTGTTCGCGTGCCAGAGCAATAACCCTTTTGCAGCAGACGTGTCGAAGAGCGCGCGCGCGCGTCGTTGCGCGCGCATGCCGGAATCATTCACAAAACTTCGGTTCCGTAGCGATGTCGAAACCGAGTGTCCAAACAACATATAAAAAACACATGGTTTCGCAACATCAGTTCTCAAAACAGCGTGTGTTCGCGCTCTTGCGAATTCTTATTGAAAAACCATAGACTGTTCAACAACAATTTCATGGAAATCTGCCACTCATTCGCACGCCCTTTCGCGCGTGCTCTGGGGGCACGATCCGTGTCAAATAGTACCATGCGGGCTACTGGCGCGTCAGCCACGCGCGCATGTCGAACTCTTTCCAAGACCTTCATCACCGACGCGAGGACGCCGTCATCGTCGCCGGCGTGATCAGCATCGGCGCCCGCACTGGCCGCGACGTCGTCGTTGTCAACATCGTCACCAGCATCTCTATCTTCATCACCGTGTACACCGTTGTCGACGTTGCCATGATACCGTGCACGCCCACGTCACCGACTCGCACTGAAGTGCCCGCTGGGCTGTGCCCAGCGGTCAGCGCCACCGCAGCCGCGTCGGTCGCGCCACACTAGTTGACCGTTGCGCGCGCGTGCTTGGGTTGGCGCGGCCGCAAAGATGCACCGGCCAACGCCAAGCACACATCGTAATCGCCGCCGCATGGGTTTTGCAAACCAAGTTGCGGGTGGGTGGGTGGGATGCTTTCAAGAGCACGGAATGTGTCAACTCGTTTTTCAAAATCAGGCTTCGCGCGCGCGTGTCGAGATCGTTCGAACGCCCTTGCGCGCGTGCCGTCGCGAGAATCCTTTGCAACACATGTGACGAAGTGCGCGCGCGTCGTCGCGTGTGCATGCCGAAATCCTTCAACAATCTTCGCTTCCCCAAGGATGTCCAAACCGAGTGTCCAAACAATATCAAGGAACACATGGTTTCTCAACATCGGTTTCCAAAACAGCGTGCGTTCGCGCTCTTGCGACTTCTTGCGTAGTTGTTTATTTCATCATTTCCATCGAATTTGTCCAAGCGGGCCTCTGGCGCCGCATGCCGAAATCACACCCGCGCCTTTGCGCGCGTGCTGGGGGGGGGGGGGACACGATTGGTGTCAAACAGTGCCATGCGGGCCACTCTCGCGCGTCGGCCGCGCGCGCATGTCGAACTCTTGTCCAAACTTTCATCGCCGACGCGAGGACGCCGTCATCGTCGTCGGCAGGATTAGCATCCGCGCCGCCATTGGCCGCGCCACAGCTGGTCTCGTCATCGTCACCAGCACCGCTGCTATCATCGCCGTGTCTACCGTTGTCGATGTTGCCATGATACCGCCCCCGTCCAAGCCGCCGAATCGCACTGAAGCTCCCGATGGAGTGCGCCCACCAGTCAGCGCCGCCGCGGCGGCGTCGAACGCGCCAAAATAGCCGGCCGGCGCGCGCGCGTGCGCGGGCTGTCGCTGCCGCAAAGATGCACCAACCAGCGCCAACCACTCATCGCAATCGCAACCGCAGTGGGTTTGCAAACCAAGTTGTGGGTTGGTGCGTGGGATGTTTGCGCGAGCAGTGGAGTGGGGAACATCAAGTTGAGCGCTGGTGTATTGCACCGCATATATTGCGCCGCGTATATTGCATTACATAAACTGCACCGCGCTGATTGCACCGCATAGATTGCACCGCGTAGATTGCACCGCGTAGATTGCATTACATACGTTGCCGCGCGTAAGTTGCACCACGTAGATTGTACCGCGTAGGTTGCATTACATTGGTTACACCGCATAGATTCTCATTGCTTCAAAGAAAGTAGACTCCACCCCCACCCTTGGGATTATCGGTTCCATTTTTTCGCGTAGCAATTTGCGCATGATTTTGCCCAATCGTCCATCCTGAATAAGAATCCATGCCGTTCCAGCCAGGCTGGCATCGTTCCCCCTGTCATCGTCAGCAAGAAATATTCTGCGAGCGCATTCGTTTCTCACGCATCATCACTTTCCAAGATTCCCTTCGGAAAAAATGAGACGAAGTGCGCGCGCGCGGGAATCCTTCAAACATTCTCGGTCTCGTAAGGATTTCAATATCGAGTGTCCAAAAACACATGTAAAACACTATGTCTTTGCAACGTGGAACTTCCAAACACTTCGCGCGCGTTTCTGCGAATCCTCGAGGAAATCAGAGGTTTCTCAACATGTCCAAAACATGCTGCCGAACGAGCTTCGCGCGCGCATGTCGGAATCGTGCGAGAGCCTTTTTCGCTCGTGCTGTCGCGAGAATCGCTTCTGCAACAGATGGGGCGACTTGCGCGCGCGCGTCGTCGCGCGCGCATGCCAGAATCATTCGAAAAGTTTTGGTTCCATGGAGATTTCAAAACCGAGCACCCAAAACACATTGAAACATGCGGTTTCGAAACATCAGTTTTCAACGAAAACGGCGCTCGCGTTCTGGCGAATTCGCAAGAAAGGCGCGAGGTTATTAACCTGTTCACTGACCTCCGCCAGACGAGCCACTCGCGCCGCATGTCGAAATCATTCGACGCCCTTGCGCGCGTGCTGGGGGGGGGGGGGGCGCGATCCGCATCGAATAACACGGCCGCGCGCGCACGTCGAATTCTTGTCAAAATTTTCATCGCCGACGCAAGGATGCCGTCATCGTCGTCGGCGTGATTCACATCCGCGCCGTCATTGGCCGCGCCGCAGCTGGTCTCATCATCGTCACCAACGCCGCTACGATCATCATCGTGTCTACGTTGCCATGATGCCGCAACCGCTCATGTCGCTGATTCGCACTGAAGTGCCCCGTGGGATGCGCCCACCGGTCAGCGCCACCGCGGCCGCGTCGGTCACGCCAAGCTAGCTGGCCGCTGTGCGCGCGAGCATTCGCGGGCTAGCGCGGCCGCAGAGATGCACCAGCCAACGCCAAACACTCATCGCAATCGTCGCCGCATGGGTTTTGCAAATCAAGGTGCGGGTGGGTGGGTGGGATGATTGCGCGAGCAGTGGAGTTGACAATTCATTGCGAACAGGAATCGGTTCTCCTTTCTAAAAAAAGAATAGACTCGACCCCCACCCCCCCCGGGACTTAACGCTTCCCCCTTGGATAGTATAATTCATATTATATATAGATATATATATATATATATATATATATATATATATGTATGGTCGCCCCCCTTCCAAGATCATACCTTTTCGTCTCCTCATCCTCGATTGCTTATTTTCCTTTCTCTCTCTCCCTCTCTCTCTCTCTCTCTCTCTCTCTCTCTCTCTCTCTCTCTCTCTCTCTCTCTCTCTCTCTCTCTCTCTCTCTCTCTATCTCCTTTCTGTGTCTCTGGGCTCTCTCGGGGCTCTGACCGTTGAGAACCGCTGTGCTTTCGAGGTTTTCCAGATTTTCCATGTTTTCCCAGACACTGACCATTGAGAAACGCTGTGTGTTCCAGGTTTTCCATGTTTTCCAGGTTTTCCCAGACACTGACCGTTGAGAAAAGCTGTGTGTTCCAGGTTTTCCAGGTTTTCCCAGACACTGACAGTTGAGAAAAGCGGCGTGTTCCAGATGCTCCATGTTTTGTTAGAA